GTTTCTACCTTTTGGCTGTTGTGAATAATATTGGTTGACCAATATTGGTGTGCAACTGCCTGTTTGAGTCCCTGCCTTCGGTTCTTCCGGGTGTATCTCCAGGGGTGGGATCACTGGGTCATCTGGCAACCCTATGGTTAGAGTTTGAGGATCTGCCATACTGTTTTCCACAGCAGCCGCACCATTTTCTCTTCCCCCGTATGGTGCACAAGAGTCGCCATTTCTCCACATCCTCACCAACACCGGTGTTTTTTTGTTTGTTTGTTCGACTGTTTTTGTAATAGGTTTTACAATGGGTATGAAGTGCCCTTTACATCTGAACGTCATAAAACTCAGTTGTTCTGGTTAAGCCCAGTGGACTTTGGAAGATATCTGGCATGAAGGCGGGTCAGTGCAAACCCAGCCCCCCGGGGAGCAGGCCCTTCGCTCCTCGCACGTCTGTTTCCTCACCTGTAAGATGGGTTCATCACTGGGCTTGCTTCTTTGGCTTGTTCAGGAGACCAGGCGAGATAATCCTTGTAGAGCCCTGAGCACAGTGCCTGGCACATAGTGTGTGCTTAATACGCACAAGTCATTCTTACTCCTAGCTTCCAAAGGCTCTGAAAGGAGGGGGAGAGGGCCTTTGTACCTCTGCGCTTTGACCCAATGGGGAGAACACAGCTCGGAGGGAAATTTGGGTACTGAGACTTAAATATTTGCACAAACAACACTGATGGAAATGAAAAGAAATAAAAAATTTACCAACAATTCCACTCTAGGTCACCAACTCTTTTTTTTTTCCCCATTGGTCCCTTTTCTCTTCCAGACCTTGACCGTTTGTGTAAATAGTCTTTGCTATTGTCACAGCCTTGAGCACAAAAAAATCCCATGCGCCCCCTTCCTCCCACAGGATTATCTTAAACACTTGCCACATTACTGAGCAGACCGCCCAGCCTTCGTTTTCAAGAGCTGCCGAAAAGCCCTGACGTGTGGCTGAGATACTTTCACCTTTCTGTGGAAAGTGTGGATTATTTCTAGGTTTTTGCTGTTACAGCATGGCAGCCATCTTTTCTGTTCACACACTCAGGACATGTGGGCGACAGGAGTTTTGTGCCCTTTGTGGTGTTCTGGGCAGGCTGGGAACTGGAGATCTGGTCCGCCTGCCGACATTGCAACTTCTGTGACCTTTCAGATGGCTTATGAGTCCTGGGTTTTTTCCAGGAAGGGTGGTCACCCAAAACCCAGGGTGTGTTATTGTTGCGCTTGGGGACAGAACACTGCAGCGGACATCTTCGTGTATATGGCTCTCTCTTCCTTCAGATTCCTTCCATAGGATAAGTTTGTAGAAGTGGGATTCCCGAGTCAAAAATAAATGAATGGATTGGGGGTGAGGTATTTTGGGGAAATAACACTTAATTTATAGTTGGAAGATTGCAGCCGTAGTGCTACCCCTTGCTGGCATGTGATCTGGCTCATTTTCTGAACTGTCTTCCTCTCCTGTAAAGTGGTAGTAACAATTTGAAAGGCATAGACTGTTGAGAGCATTAAGTGGGGGAAAACAGTGGGTGCACAGAGCCATTTAGTGTGGTGCCTGACTTTTGATAGAATCCCAGAAACTATTAGTTGGAGGTAAATACTGCCAAATCACTTTCATGACTTACCTTGTCCCTGCGAGCAGAAGAGCAAATGAATTTTCCTGCAGCCATGCCTGTACTGGATATCAGTATTTTCTTCTCTCAGAGATGTTCTTCCTTTAAGCATTTTTTTGTACACTGACTTTCTGTCCAGTGTAGTGTCAGACCCTGGGGATACAGCTGTAAGCTGGACTCAGGACCCTCCTGGCCAGGAGCTGCCAGTCTAGCATAGGAAATGGAGGCAATCACCACATGCGCAGTAAGTGCTAAGCTCTGGAGAACCACCAGGGACTTAGATACCAGAGCACAGAGGAGGCACCTGAACCTGCCCTGGGGTCTCGAGAGGGCTTCCTAGAGGAGGTGGCAGTTTGGAGCTGACAACTGAAAGAAAGTGAGATTAGCCAGGCAGTGTACATGCATAAAGGCAAAGAAAGCAGGGCGTGCCTTGTCGGATCTGCCTGGGATTTGCTGGGCTGAAGTAAGTGTGTGAGTGTGTGTGGGGGACAGACAGACACAGATGGAGGAGTGTCAAGCATTAGACCGAAGTTAGAGAGAGAAAGAGGGTCCTGATCCTGCTGGGCCTCAGGGAGGGAGTTCGATCTTTATTTGAAGGGCAGTGGGGAGACAGGTGAGGGCTTTGAGCAGGGGAGTGATGCATTGGCGCTTGTGTAGCAGAGACTCTGGCGGCGCTAGGGGAGTAGCTTGGAGGAGGCTCCAGCAGAGGCAGGACGTCAGGAGGAGGCGGAGTTTACAGGCCCCTCACAGTGAAGGTTTCCCTGGCCACCCCCTCCTTTGTTGTCACTCAACAGTCTATAGATCTTGCTTATTTGGATTGTCTGTTCCCATCTTGACTGTTTGCTCCATGGGACATGTCATGTTCACTGCTGGGGGCACAGCATATAGTAGGTGCTTAGTAACTGCGCTTTGGAATGGACGAATGAATGAGCTACCTATGGGGACAGAGAGGAGAGGACATGGGCACTCCAGGGACATTAGACATTGGGCCCTTTCCATCGGCGGCCTGTGGGTGGACAAGCTGCATGCATTTACTGTAGCCCTACTTCTGGAAGGACACGGGCACACACTTGGCCCTTTGCACACCACACAGGATGGATTTGCAGATTTGGGAGCCCAGGTCACCTTCTGGAAGATGCTGGAAGGTGTCAGGAATGGCTCGCACCCCTTACCAGATGGTGGCATTCCCAGGAAACGGCACCCAGAGATGGCTGAGTGGATGACTGGTGAGCTCTCCAGATCGGATTTAAGGGTGTAGTTATGAAAGATCGGCAGCAGCTGCTAGAATGAATCAACGCCTCTGAATCTGAGAGAAAAGCTGCCAAACTGCTTGGTTTTGAATGAAGCTGCCTCTCTTGTCTTCTCTCTGTATGTGACAGTCTTGGATTGTCCGGGAGACTGTGAGCTCCTTGGCTGTACCACCAGCCCCGAGCACAAAGCCTGGTTTGTAGAAGGCAGGTCAGAGGGCTGGACAAATGGCTGTTCTTGAAATGACTCCTGTCTGATTTAAGCGCCTATTGGCCTTGGCGACTCAGCTCCCAGGAAAATGGTTTGCTGTGTATGACACAGTAGGAAATGGGAATTTCCAACTTTGCAAATCAATTAAGGAAGATCAAGCTTGTAGGCTTGGCAGGTTCAGCAACAGCAGAGACGTACCCATTGCTACCCCCACTGCTGGAGGTCAGACCCACACCCTCTGTCTCCCAGTCCTCTGCTGCCTCCTGACCTCCCAGATCAGCCTTGCTTCCTCGCCATCCCCCATGCCCAGTTCCATGGTGATTAATCCAGATAAAACCGGAGATGGCTCACACTCTGTGTCCCTTCTTTCTTCAGAGAGCCCTTGTTTACCTGGCTTTGGCCATTGTGCCAATAAATTTAAAAAGAGCTAGTAAAGCCACTCCAGGGATAAGTAGCATCTGGTCTCTGTGTGAGTGGGCTTCCGAAGTGTTTTGGAAGAGACTAACATCTCAAATTAAGCGTAACATATGCGATGCATTTAAAGTAAGGCTCTAGAGCATGTATTTCAGCTGGCTTCCTTGTGTTTTGCAACAGGTTAAATGAAAACCCGAGAACCATGGGTTTCTAGATTTGGGAAAGGCTTCGAAATATTATTTAGCTGCCCACTGTGGTGGTTTAGTTTTTTTTTCTTTTGTGGCTTGATTTACTAATTAATTTATTGATTCATTTTTGCAAACGTTATTTACATACCAGGTATCTGCGATGCATTTTAAATGGGAGCTTGAGAGGAAGCCCAAGATGTTAGACATCAGAAAACAGTGACCCTGTTCTGGTTAAGAGGGATGGGGACTAAGGGTCACCTTGGTCTTTGTCGTCTTTGCCCTTTTCCTTCCCTGCAGCATGGCCGCTGAGGTGGGCTCAAGGATCCCAGAGTAGGCCAGCGTTTGTGTACCATTGATTCTAATTCAGCAGCGGTTGTCCTTGGTGATTCTCCTCCCAGGGGAAGTTGTTCAGAGCAGCCTTCATTCACAGGCAGGCGGATGAGCCGGCGTGCTTGCCTGGGCTGAACGTGGTCACCGCAGGGGTCTGACGCTGGCCTGTCCTAGACAGTGGAGTGCCTCCCTGTGGTGCAGTGAAAATGATGGGGCCTGGTGGTGGGGCAGGCAGGTGGGCTTCCAGCTGTGCGCTGTGCAGCTCTTTGGTTTGCCATCCAGAAGCCGCTGACTCATAGCCGTCCCAAAGCTTGCCAGAGTCAGTGTCATTTCTCTGATGTTCTGACTTCTTAGTGTCATGAAACTCATGGTCCGCCCCTTTACTCAGTATCTTAGAAGAGAGGGGAGCAGGGCCAGGAGAATATTCCTTCATTTATTTATTCACTCAACAATTACTTATTTATATATTCAACAATTACGTATTTGCCAAGCCACTGTGCTAGCTGCTGGGGACTCAGGGTGCCCTCTGGGTCTTGCCACTAAATGGGAAAGACTGATGAGATGTAAAGGATCATGCAGTATTAAATATTTTTGTGTAGCTATGATGAGTCCCACCAAATGTCTGGTGCTGCTCTGTGGACATGGAAAAGGGATCTTTTACTAGGTTGGAGGGGCACAGAGATGTCTGTGTTTCTTAAATAAGACTCTGAGTTCCCTGAATGTGGGAGATTTTTCTGGTTCATCTTTGTGCACATGGCAGGTGCCCAATGAGCATGGATCAGAGGAACAAGCGAGACTTTTATTGAGCACCTACTGTGGACTCAATACTCTTTATGCTATAATATTGAAAAGCCGAAAAGACTGAGTTTTACAAGCTGGAGGAGATGCCAGCGGATGCAGTTGGAGCTCGAGAGCTTTTGCGCCGTCTGTGCACATATTGCCAGAGCTCCGGAACTGAGGCTGTTGTCCTGTGTCTCTCTAGACCTGCCGAAATTCAGCCCGCAGAGACGAGCTTCACCTCCCTGGCCGGCTTCTGCCACAGAAGTGTACAGACAGCCTCATTTGCCATGAGACGTGACCCCATTGGCTTTCTCAGGCTGTTGCAGAGCCCCAGCCAGGGCCTGCCAGCTCCGGTAAGTGGGACTGGAGTGTCCAGGGGGTGGAGGGCGCCTGTGGGTTCTGCCAGGGAATTTCCTCTGTCCTTTGAATCCTGTTACTGTCCTGTGTCTCGTGTCCAGGCTACTTATGTCTCCCAGAGCAGGGTTTACAGAGGTCATGGGGGCTGCCTGTAAAGGTGAACAGTCCTGATTTTGGGCAGGACCCTGGGTGTGTTGGAACCCTGCCTGAGGTCATTGCAGATGGAACTCTCCCCTTCTCTGATTCTCCAGTTCTCCGTATCTGTTTCTCCGTTCTGCCTCCAACCATGTCTAGACAGTGTTCTCTGGTTTGGGGAGAAAGAATCTGTTAGCACCATTGAGCGTGTTAGGAAGAGAAAATATCAAAATCTGTCTTCCTTTCTTTCCTGCAGGCTGCTGAGTGAGTCAGAGCCGGGGGCAGCAGTATGGGGCCCCCGGAAGGGAAGCAGGAGGCTTGTGTTTAGCTAAAATACCTTCTACTTTTAGTTCACCTAGAGGAGGGCAGGCTGGGGGACATTTTTCAGGGAAAGGGAACACACTGGCATGGAGGGTGGGGAAGGATCAAGAACAGCAGCTTGTCTGGCACTTTTTAGACCAGAAAGGAGTACGATATAATTTTTAAAAAGGCCGAGTTGAATGGGTTGAGGACTTGAAATCAAGTGTCAGCTGTGTGATGTAGGCAAGTTGGGTGACCTCTCTGTGCTCTTCCCCTTCCTCTCCATAATGGAGACAGGGTTAATCCCTGCCTCTTGGGGTTGGAGGATTAATGAGAGGAGGCTCCCTGCCTTGAGAGAGCAGAGCTCATAGCTGGATGGCCAAGGGGCTGGTGCCTGAGCCCCTGCACAGTGGGGTCTGATAACCCTCATGCCCCCCCACACAGGGCTGTGAGGAGGAGGTGATTGATCAGCTATAGGAAGCCCTTGCTTACCTTGAGGCCTCACTCATGGGAGGCCCTCACCATTAGCCTTTGCTCTTCCTATGGAGACTGTGAAGGCAGCCAGCATAATACAGGTGTTCAACAGAAAAGAAACAAAGGCTGACAAATAACAGCAGGGGGTGGAGTGAAAAATGAGAATTTTTTAAAATGGCATCTGGAAGGGTAGGGGAGGGGAAAGGTAAGGGACAGCCCGTGGGGTAGGGAGCTGAAGCGCAGGTTCTGGGGCTACTAACCAAGTCTGTGGCCCTGGGGATTCCAGCGTTGCTTAGCTGTGTGAGCCGGGGCTGGTCACTTAGCCTATCTGTGCCTGGCGCCCCACACAGGATTATCGGGAGGATCAGCTGGGATGCTTGACATGGGCAGGCTCTGACCTGGGAAAGACTTGGAGTAACAGCAGTGAAGGGAACGCAGGCAGGGTGCACTCCCCGGGCCTGGTACTGGGAGCGGTGAGGTGTGTTTGGAGTCCGACATGGGTTCGAATCCTGACCTTTTTTGCCTCTTACTCTTGAGGGACTCCAGGCCACGTCCTTGGTCTCTCTGAGCTGGTTCCCTTATCTGTATAGCAAAGATAATCATTTTCTACCTGAGGTGCTGGCTTTGGGCTTAGCTGAGTCAGGCGAGCACTAGAGAATGTTGGCATCCCTTCCCCACCCTTGGAGCTGGAGCAAACTTCAGAAAAGCTTATCTTCTGCCCTTGCCGGGAGCTCAGAGAGGTGGAGACTCTCCCAGGCCTGGCCGGTGAGGGCAGTGGAGAGTTGCTGTCCAGAACCAGTCTGTCGCCCAGTCCCCCAACCTCTTTGCTTCCATCCAGACACTGACTGAATTCTAAATTTACCTTCTTTTTTTAAGGTGGTTGCTTCTCCATTTGGGATGTTCCTGATCCCCATGGATCCACAACTGTAACCATGGTGACACGGGTCGAAGTTGGCTCCGTAACTTCCCTGGCTAGAGTGCCCGGCCTGGGTGAGATCGCCAAAGAGGAGACCCTGCAGCGGACCTACTTCTGCCAGGCCAGTGCCGCCCCCTCTGCAGCGCTGCTCCTGGAAGGGAAGAGCCCCCTCAGGAGCAGCCCGGCCTGTCTCCTCCCTCTGCCACGGCTCGCCCCCAAACCCTTCTCCACGGGCAAGGCCCAGGACCTGAAACCCCCCGCCACGTCCCTGCGGCCCAGCCCGTCCGGGCTGTCTCCTCCTTGTGGCCTCTCCCAGGACGCAGAGGCCAAGCATCTGGGCAAGAGGATGCCCAGCCTGGTGGGGCAGGAGGTGGGGAGCGGGGAGGGCCTGAGGAGAGGCTCATCTCTGTTCAGCAAGGCTGCGATTCTGCAGCCAGGCCCCAAGGCCATGACTCTCTTGGAAACTGCCAAAGCCAGCCCTACTCTGGGGAAGGGGAGTGGTGAGGGGTCTCAGAAGGCTGGCGCAGGGGAGTCTCAGGAGT